TCTTGGGGAAAGGGGGTGGGGTTCTACCAGTGATGGTGGTGAGGTTTGGGGCTGGGCAAGTTTACAATGCGACCGTTCTAAAAATTAAGGTAGTCTGTTAATATTTGTGTCTATTTTGTTTACAATCAAGCAGTGGTGGAGCTATGACCCTCCTCCCCCTGGCAATTGAATATTCTTAATGATGTCAATGGTTGATGCTTAGGAAGTAATATAGATTTGCACACCAGAGATAACTTCAGTACTATTGCCACTAATTGTTTCAACATAGGCCGCCTGGCCTGCCAAGGCTTCACTGTACTGCCTTGCTTCTGATTGCCACCTACCTATGCCATCGTTATTCGTTTAGAACTGTCACAGAGTCACATTTGGTGCAATTCTACCAGGATGACTTAAATTTGGATTGAATTACCATAGAGTATTTATTTAATCATGTCATTCATGCTAGTATATACTGTCATAATTTTATATATCGTAATGATATTTCATTGTGGAAGTTCTTCTGTGTTTGATGTACAGATACTCTGTATCCCGTTTGAGTTTCTGCTGGAAACAGTGTATTATGATATTCCGTAACATTTCTGAGAGTAAGGAGGCTCGTTTTAGTTCTCGTCAATATGGGGATCGCTGTATTCGTGTTGTTTGGATTGGAAGAGTGATATATCTATATATAAGAGAGCTGCATGTCTTCTTTAACTGTTGCTGAAACTGTTTTTCAAATTAATAAGTATGCTTTGTTTTTTCCCCCACATCTTAGGACTAAGCGGTTTATTCTATATGCTTAGCTACCTTATGTTGAATGTTGACCTAGGCTTTTACATCCAAAAAAATTCAGCTTGCAAGTATTGCTATGATAGCATCTTGATTTGATGTTTTCTTCATAGCATCCTGGAAGACTATCAGCCTTTTAGGGAAACTAAACCCATTAAATAATATAATTTGTCTGCAATGGTTTTTTTTTGTATATTATGTTCTTCATGGCATAAAAGGTTAGTAAATAGGACATCGATTTTAACTTGGGACTAAAAGGTTTTGTTGTTTGATTTTGACTTTCTGAAAATGTCTATTGCAGTTCTGACTTTGCTCTTCGGTCATATTTGTACCTTTTCTTTCACGCTCTTGTAGCTGGGCCTGCTTCACTAATCTTTGGTGAGCATAAGGTTCGTAGTCTCTTACTCCTTTGGTTTCTTCACATCCTTATATTGGTGGCTATCTCTTTACCTATTTGTGCTTACTAATGATATCTCATCTATTCTGTTGTCAAGGTTCTTGTGTTCTACTCAGTGAGAATTTTTCTTGGTCTCATTTCAACTATTACTGAAACTGTTCTGGTGGTTGCTCTTTCAAGAAGATATGGGAAGCGACTTGCTTGTTATGTTCTTGCGATGCTATGCTTATCCAGCGGTTGCTTCTTTGCCAGTACCAGTATGTATCTTTGTAAATTCAGTTTTCTGTTGTCGTTTGGAAATTATATTGCAGATGTGTGATTGCTCCAACTGGGTGCTACCTTAATTATATTTATACTCTGTTCCAGGTTTCTTGCCAAGTTCATTCTCCATGTACGCAGTAACACTTTCGTCTGCACTCTTCCTTCTTGAGAAATATGCTGGTGCAGTCTCAGTTGCAGCTGCTGGAGTGATCCTTGGTTGGCCTTTCTCAATTTTGGTTTTCCTCCCTGTTACTGTTTATTCTCTAATTAGAGGATCTTTTAGAAGGGTTTTTCTATCTGGATTATTGACTTCACTGTGCTTTCTTGTAAGTAAATCCCTCACAATTTCACTTTTTTACAATATGTACGAGTTCCACTGATCATGACAAGTTTGTGCTAGGTTCTGTCGTTTGCTGCTGATTATTACTGCTATGGTCGATTGACATTCTCGGTGTTCAATCTTCTGAAATATAACGTTCTTGGTGGTGGCGAAAGTCACTTGTATGGAACCGAGGGGCTTTCATTTTACTTCAGGAATGGATTCAACAATTTCAATTTTGCCTTCATCCTGGCTCTTCTTTTCTTGGGGGTTGTACCATTTGCAAGAAAGAAATATGCTCCTGATCTACTGATAGTTGTCTCTCCTGTCTATATCTGGTTGGCTTTCATGTCTTTGCAGGCACACAAAGAAGAAAGGTAAGAAGGAATTTCGCAATGTGCACATATGATCAGTTGAACACTCGAACATGCAATATAATATAGGAAAAACTCTTCTTTTGATCTTTTCTGCAGAACATCTTCCCACATGAAGATTATGTAGAGGCTAGAAATGTTATTTCTGTTTGCCTATGACTAATTTAATTTGATCTATCTGGACACTTGCATCTAGTTGACATTATCTCTCTGGTCTCCCTTAGACTCCATTATTTCCCTGAACTAACCAGTTTGATTTTTTAGATTAGACTTTAAACAAAAAAATGAGGTGCCCTGTATTTTGTCTTAACCTACATTTTCTAAGTTGCTGATTTGTTTAGCTTACTTGCATTGCTGTTGGCAAGTTTCACTTATAAATTGAATTCACAGCATTTCTAATAGGATAGCCTTGAAATCCACAAATTAGACTAAATTGCAACCAAATCAGCCATGTATCCTTTGTACTATGTTGCAACCATTTTGACTAGTTATTGCTACCGAATAATGCTAAGAGTAATGGCCAGGTTTTCTGTAGTCCTCACCATCGTCTGAAAATAGTAGTGTTGTAATAGGGTATGAAAAGAATAAGAAATTGCTTTTGAAGAATCTTTCCTTGTATACAGATGGAACATACTGAGGCTGACTGGTCTTATCTATTTGTGCAGGTTTCTCTATCCAATTTATACATTGATATGTGTTGCTGCCGCAGCTGTTATTGATAGCTTACCTGATTTTTTCCATGACAAATATTTATCTGATCAGTCTATTTTTGAAAAGGTTAGCTTGGAGACTTGAATGACATTTACACCTTGTTTATTAACTAGGAATGGTTGTAAAGTTGTTTCATAATGCTTGTGACAGATAGCGAAGGGTCTGCGTCCTTTGATCCTTGGTTTTATTTTGTGTGCTTCCCACAGCCGAACATTTTCCATGTTAAATGGATATGGTGCTCCCCTGCAGATCTATCAGCATCTAGAACATCATGACGACACTGGGCCCGGTAAAGCTCTACAATCTATACCTGTCATGGCAGTTGATTATGTTCTTGCTTAGTATGTTATAGGATTACACCTGTAATGCCAGGCATGCCTGAGACCTAGAGTATTGTCTTGTGTCATTGATTGCGTTTTTCTTGTTAAGGTACTTATATATAAATAAATGAAGATAAAAAATTGGCTTAAACAGATATACCGTCAGAAAGAATGATGCTTGAAGGTATTGTTGGTAGCTAAATTTGTGTACCTGTCTGTTTACAGGGTCTATTCTCTGTGTTGGAAGTGAGTGGCATCGCTATCCATCATCGTTCTTCATACCCTCCTATATCAGTGAAGTCCGGTGGATAGATGATGGCTTCCGTGGCTTACTTCCATTTCCCTTCAACGAGACCCTGGGTGGAACCACTGCAGCTCCGTCATACTTCAATAACAGGAACAAGGCGGCTGAAGGGCAATATGTAGTTTCCTTTCTTACTGAACTTCAACAATGCAATCTTCTAATAATACACTGAGTGCAATCTGTTGTTATTTTTCGGTGCAGCTTAAAGACATCGGAGCATGTACCTTACTGGTGGAACTTGACCTAAGACGGCCTTATCCCTCACGTGGGAGTGACTTGTCAACGTGGGAGGTAGATTAACACGCATAATCCGAATATAAACGCACATGATCCTACTAGTTCTGTTTTCACAATCTGACAACTCTTTGCAAACTGCAGGCATTGGCCGCACTACAGTTCCTGGACAGAGAGCTTTCCCCTGCATTAGACCGGTCCTTCTTCATACCATACCGATGGCAACAAAACAACGTGTTTGGCCTGTACAAGCTACTGAGGAGGTTGCATCCTGACCATGCGTGATCAAGAGGCGTGTGGGGTTTGCTTCAATGAGCTTAATCACGTGATTTCTTTGAACAAACAGCTCGCTAAATTTGACTGATATAGATTTTCTGATCCGTATGGGTTTTCCTAGTGGGTAATGGCGAACCCGTTTTTGTCCCACTGATCGTCCCATCATACAGCACAGAACGAGATTACGAGCTGTATAACTGATGTAGTGATTGATGTTCGAGGATGAGAGTTCTGAACTGCTGATGTAGTGATTGATGTTCGAGGAGAATCATGTTGGGGGCGCTGGTCAGTGTTCTGAAACTGCTGTTTTTGCCAGTTGTAACTTGTTTGGATTGTTTGTTGAATCAAGGCCAATGACAGACTGATGGATTAGCGATTAATTTATGGGAACCAACATCATTGAGATTTATACTTTTTTACTATATTGAGTTTTTTGCTGCGGTAAAATGCCCCAAGCCCAGGTCAGAGGTACAAGTCGTTCTACAAATATGCTCTGCAGTGTAACCACTAACCAAGACCTGGTGAATGGGCCAACGGGCACGACACGGTCCAGGGAAGGCAAGGGCATGGGCGCACGGCCCATCCTAGGAATCGTCTCCTTCGCGGTTTTCTTCGAAATCGTTGCCACTCAGGAGTAGGAGGTTTCATATCGTATCGTAGTTTTCAAGATGTGACACTGAGAATAAGGGTCTCTCAATACACAGTTTCATTTCACTATTTCATAGACTAGTTTTAGCATTTAATCCTTGCACTATGTTGTGATCAAATGTGCCGTATTACTATGTAGCAATGTGATATTGTTGTGCTTTCATGTGTGTGTGTGTATAGCTGAATATATCAGTTTTCACACGTAAAAAATGATAGCACTCACTCAGGCACTAGGTAACTGATCGGCTTCACACACAAAAAAATGCAACATTCACACATGCACTACGTATCCATATTCAGTTTCACACCGAAAAATTTCAGCATTCACACAAGCAAAATTTAGCAGATAAGAAACAGTTAATCACAGCAGCAGAATGTGTACAGGGCTTCATGTTGATAGCAAACAGCATTCCTGCAGAAAACAAAAGTAATTCAGGATCTGAAGGTAAATGACAGAAATTGTTAATGTTCTCACCAAAGATGACACTAAAAAAGTCTGGCAAGAACTGTTACTTTAAGTATGGCAGCAGTGTCTTGCACAGAAGAAAATTTCTATACTAAAAAAGATTCAAAAGCACGAACAAGAGTACTACACTTGGATCTGGAACATTAACAATAGACTTACCATGGATTCTGCAGTGGCTTCCATGCGCAGGCGAGGAACAATCTTGATATGCCCACAAATCGTAAAGCAATGAAAAATAGGGAACTGAGCAACAGTCCATCATATTCTACACTTTAGAACATTCTTCCACATGTCCTGGCTCCTGCTAACTGTTATCCATGCCAATTCCCACCCTGCAGCTGTTTTTCTCTAATAACAATGTTGATTTGCTGATCGGTGAACAGAGAAGCACATATAAGCCAGTTGTTATAGGCTTACTGAATGTAAGATGTGCCACATGTTCAGATACAAAACACTATAGTAGCCTGTTCTGTTGCATCTACTTCTCTAAGGTTGGTTTGTAGCTAACGGCACAAAGCAATTGAGAATCAGCAAAGTGGTACGATTCTCCAGTCTCACCTAACTTGCCCCAAAGATCCATGGTGAAGAAAGCTGCAAGAGTACGTTCAAAAAGAAAGCTGCAAGAGCATAGTGGAGATACAAGTGCTTGACACCAAGAATGCTATGTCACTCGGGCTCGCTTGTGGTTTGGACTCACAGCATCTCTAATCCCTTTGTCTGTCACTGCATACGGTGCTGAGGCTACTGGAAGTGAAGGAGACTTATCAAGGTGTGCGTATCGTTCGTTCCCGTTCCAGTACAGAATCAGCCGGTTCGTGCATGAGTGGGACCAGCTGTCACCTGCATAACAAGGTCATTATCTTATCTTGGAATAATCGGTTCAAGTGTCCAGTGCCAATGAAATATTCAGAAGAAATATGTCACTGAACAGAAGAGATAAGCTACAGTCACCCATCTACTTGAACCCCCCTCTTTTTTTTTCCCTTCCAGTGCCAACGAAATATTCAGAAGAAATATGTCACTGAACAGAAGAGATAATCTACAGTCACCCATCTACTTGAACCCTCTTTTTTTTTGGCAAACATCCATCCAAGTATCCAACCCCACTGGAGAAAAAATTGTAGCTATTGTCATAACTTGGACAGTGTCAAAACTATAACCAGTTTATCAATTTATCGGAACTTAGCCTGTAATACCAGTTTCTTATAAAACAGAGGAATGAATACACAGGAATAGGGTTACTGCAAAGGTGATCATGGTGTGGATCTTGTTGGACACGATCATATTTTATGTCATATATCCAGGTGGGTGGGTGTGTGTGTGTGTCAGGGGGGGGATGGGGATTTTACTTTTTGACAAAAAAATTGATGACACAAACATGGATATAAATATGAATGATTGAAAAGAGATCATGGCACCTCCATTCCCCTATGGGAGCTTATTTGGAAATCATGGGCGCCTAAGAAATGTCAAATTTTCCTATGGCTAACCGCTCATAATAGGTGTTGGACTGCTGATAGACTTGCCCGCAGAGGGCTGCCTCATCCAAATCAGTGCCCTTTATGTGATCAACAGCAGTTGACAAACTGTGTCTTCTCTAGACAAGTTTGGTATTTACTCTTGCGCCTCTCTGGTTCACCGGACCTCTCACCATGAATCGGGGATGAGGTATCCTGTGATTGGTGGCTTCGGATTAAAACTTTAATTCCAGGACATTGGAAAAGTGGAGTAAACTTGTTGATCTCCTTGGGAGCATGGATGATTAAGCGACATAGAAATGAGTGTGTTTTTAATGGTGCTGCACCAAGTGTCCAAGTTGTTCTTAGAAGAATTTTTAAGAAGGGGGCCTCTGGTGTATGGCTGATGCAAAAGGTTTGGCACAGCTTGTGGCACCAATTGTAGTGGAGCCACAAGATCGCGGTATAGATTGAAAGTTATGCACATTACATATTCTACAATTATACAAAAAACACAACAATATTTTCAGCTTTTAGTGTACGATTTGCCTAGATAATTTCAACTACCCTACATTATCACGGTACCAAAGTTTTGGCTGCAACTAGTAAAAGCTTGCCCATATGCATTTCAGCCGTCTTGACTTAGTCACTGGAAGTGTGTGCCCAACACTAGAACAGAAAGGCAACCTTGATAACATAAGCACATAATTAGGAAATTCTTATTGCTAATTTCCTGCTGCTCTGTGAACAATAAAGACCACAAGCATCCAGTACTGATTCGAAGATGAAGAAGGAATGGAGGATTATACTTATATGACACAAAACTGACCTAGAGCAAGAGTCAATTGAAATGACCCTTCAGTAAATTTAGTAGTGACTTGGTTCAACAAGACAACCTGCTTAGCAGAACAAGATAAATATGTTAGCCTCATCAAATAGGTAACATACGATCAGAATTAATACCCTTCATACGCATGATGCGTAACTTACTGCCAAGTTATATGTCTTTGCAATCTTCATTAACTTCAATGATAATCCACTTAGCACTCTGGTCCTCAATGCTAGATCTTCAAAATCTTGTCGAAAGTGGAAAGTAACACTATCAATAATAACAATACGCACCTGCGAAGTAGATAGCCAATTCTTTACTTTTGAACACTAGGTCAGTTGTTGTACATTGCAAACAAAGAAAAAGAACTGGGAGAGAAAAAACTAGTGTACATTATAATGTCCTGATTGCAAAAGAAAAGGTAAAGTATCAAGATAAAAAGATTGACAACACAACAGAAATAGTTGTATTAAAGTTAGACTTGAGAAGTCAACTGTTGAAGAAACTCACATCTTTATGCTCTCCGAGGAACTTTTCCAGGTAGTTTATGACTGCAATTTGTTCGGTGTAACTGCATATTCGGAAGTAATAGATGTCCGCCAGGAAATGCTCAGGCTGTAATTGTTTTTTGCCAGAAGAGGACTTCTCATGGTTGTGTGGAAAGTGCTCCAGTATGTCCCTGATACACCCTTCAGCAATCTGGTAGACACGTTCAACCATGAAACTGCCCTCTGTATCTATTATGATGAAGACAATTGCTATTACGCTTTCTCAGTAAAGCACTAGATGATATGTATTCCTGTGTGAAGCTATTTACCGATATAAACTGCTTTCCCACCAAGGCCACCATATTCCACTGGGATTTGTACATTTATTGCTAGTTGAATCCTGAAGAAAAAGTACGTATTTAGTAGGGAGATCTGCTGTACTTGTATTGATTAGTAAGCACAACATACCCCAGTTGAGTTTTACCAACCCCTGGGACACCACCTGAATAAAATTAGTGTTGTGCATTAGGTCAGTTGCTTCAGACACATCAACTGAGAGAATCAAAATTATGTAAACTACTTGATAGAGGGAAATTAAGGGCATTTCTGATCTCTGAATGCGAGGAGCGAAGCATGATAGAACAAGAGACACACTAAGCTCTATGATTCTTCAGAATAGCACAAAAGTTTGAGAGATCATCACTAGTAGACATGAAGCAAACAAAGAAGCACAGGTTACATATACCTAGCTAATTGATTAAAAAATTTCCCAATAGCTCCTATTTGACCCTTCGCTAGGAACAGTATTAGAAAGTAAACTAACCGATCTCAGTAACTTCTTTGCAGTGAATCCCGCCACCAAGTATGTCATTGAGGTCACCAGAACCAGTAGTGATGTGTTTCTGTGACTGCTCGTCAGAGAGCATATCCCAAGCATTCTGGGCCCCTGAAATGTAACAGCATCAGGATACAGACTTCTGTTGTGGTCCATTTCTAGAACCTTCAGAACATCAAATAAAGCAGCAAAAGTCAGCAGCACAAGGGCGGGACACAGTTTAGGACACGGGTGTACATCAATATTTCTTTCGCCAAAATTCGATATTAGTGGGTATGGATTATGATATAGATAATGTATATACAAGGTTTTAAATCTCTGGCTAAGCCTCTTAGCTGTTGTCCTCCACAACAGCTAAGTGCAGCTATAGCCGGAGATAGCTGCAGCTAAGCCATTTAGCTATTTTTGCAAAAATTACACAGAACCTTGGCATAACCTGATAACCATTACTAATTGTTTCATAACCTTTACTACATGAAAAGTTGAAAGCGTAGATCATATGCAAAGTCTAAAACTAAGCCACAATAAAACTGATTGACTAGTTCAACAAGCATAGATTTTAAATCTTTACCAAAGATGTCCACAACATACAAGCAAAAGATGATAATGCAATGTGAGCAGAGAAGAAACTTGCCAGATTGCTCTGCCATGGTGATTGCCACTTGGAGTTTGGTGCTGATCAGGGGCGGATCCAGTAAAGGGACATGGGTGTACACATGTACACCCAATAATTTTTGCAAAAACTTCGAAGTTAGGAGGCTTGTCAATCAAATAGCTAAATAGCTTTCGGTGTGTTCAGCTTGAAGGGAATGGAAGAGAAGGGGTGGGAGTACCTGGTGAGTGCTCGTCGCCGGCGAAGAGACCAACTAAAGCCTCAGCACCTGGCTTACGGCGGCGGGCCGGCGGCGGCGGCCCACCAGTCGTCGGAGAGCGAGAGGGGGCGAGAGAGGCAGACAGAACAGAGAACGCCGCACGAGTAGGGCGAAGGGGACGTCCGAGACTGAGTTTTTGAACCTGGATCCTATGGGCCTCTGTTAGTTGGGCCGAGACGCAGGGTGGTCCACGGCCCACAGGGACCACCCTGTAACTCCGCCACTGCGCCCACGCGAAAACGTCGGAAGTAAAAAATTTTGGAACTGCCCGAACGCCCAACGCCCAACGCCCCTATCCTTCTGAGATCAAAAAAGAAAAAACTTCCCTGTCCTTCTCCTTCGCGCGCGCAAGCACACAGGCACCGGCGCACAGCCATGGGCCGGGCATCCGCCGATCCCTCCACCTCCGGCCACGGCACACCTGTGCGCCGCCGGCGACACTTCTTCCGCCACCGTTCACTAACCCCTTCCTCCATTGACGAAACTTCCCAAGAACTCAGCCCCTCTCACACCGCCGCTTCATTCTTGGAGCAACCGTCCGTCCTCCACGTCCCCTACGACTACGACGACGGGGACGCCATGGGCTCCTACGTCGCGGTCGCGCCTCTGCCCGTCTTCCGCGGCGACCCCGGCGAGTGCCCCGACGCCCACCTCGCCCGCTTCGACCGCGTCTGCCGCGCCAACGGCGCCGCGACCCCGGCAGCCGCGGCCCGCATCTTCCCGGCGTCGCTCGACGCCGACGCCGCGCTGTGGTACGAACTCAGGGTCTCCGGCGCCGAAGACGACTCGCCGATCCCGCCGTGGGACGCCGTCCGCGCCGCCTTCCTCGACTTCTTCCGCCCGCCGGGCGCCGCGGACCGCGCGCGCGCCGAGCTCGCGGCCCTGAGGCAGGGACCCGGCGAGGCCGTCAACAGGTACCACCTCCGCCTGCAGGGGGTCCTCCGGCGGTGCTCGAGCGTCGGCGTCGACGTCCCCGACGAGCTGTCGATGGCCGCCTTCGTCGACGGCCTCCTCGCCGAGTTCAGGGACTGCGTGGCGCCGCAGCATCCGGAGGCTCTGGACAACGCGGTGGCGCTGGCCCTGATCTGGGAGCGCGCCGAGGGCGTGCGCGAAGCGTGGCGCGTGGCGAAGGCGGCCTGCGCCCCTGCCCCCGCCACACCCGCCGTGGTAAGGTGCTCGTTCTGCGGCACGGACGGTCACGAGGAGGCACTGTGCGAGGCGTGGATGAGCGGCGGCGGCGGGAGGGGAGGCTCCGTCGTGGTGGCTGAGGAGGAAGGAGGCGGGAGCGGGGCGCTGGCGCGGCTCGGGAGCGCGGTGATCACCCGCTCGTGCCAGTGCAGGAGGCACCAGTGCGGGAAGAAGGCAGTGGCGCCGAGTGAGGTCGCCGGAGATGGCGACGCGGGCGGTGCGGCTGCGGACAAGTCATCCAACCAACTGGCTGGCCTTGGAGATCTCCTGGCCTTGTGAATTTGATGCGTTCTTTACGCAGTTAATTTTTCTCTTTGAAAGACTTCTACGCCATGAGCTCAAAAATAAAAAAGACTTCTACGCCATTAGATCATATGAATTACTCCCTACTTCCTAACAGAGTAATTCATAACCATTATGTACTGTTAGCATTGCGATTCTAATTGAATAAAAACTCATGTGTTTTATTAGCTAGCGGAGATGCACGACACGCACGTGTTTATGAAAAATATTCCAAATGCAATGGTAATATTAATTGAATTCTCGATATATTAGTTCATATATATCATAGACATTTTTTAAATATAGAAATAGAATATATTTATAGATGGGTTCAAACTCAATGATAGGGCCACGCATATACTCCTAGTGAGCAACTATCGAGTCCAAACATGTTACACATTAGTATTTTTAACATCGAGTTCAAACATGTTTTACAATAATATTTTTGGCTCGTATAAATACGTTTTGCATTAATATTTTTAGCATGTTCGCTTGTTGATTTCAACCAGATCTTATCAGTCGGCCAACAGTGTTTTTCTCTCACAACAAACCAGCACCAGCCGGACCTATCAGCCCAGAAACCAACTAGCGAACAGGCTCTTTGGCTCGTATGGACGTGAGCACTTGTTTCTAAAGACTATTTTAAATGCAATGAAAATGTTAATTGAATTGTTGATATACAATAAATGTACATGCCAAGTGTTTGATCGATTTGATCAGGTCGTATAGAACAAGGTACAAATCAGAGGCAAACAATCACAGCTACACAAAAGTTTGGGCGTGGTGCATGTGAGTGAACATGTCGTGCATGACACGTCAGTTGGGCTCTGTTACGTCACATGTGCCTATTGGACCAAACGACTTAAGACTTGGACGCGTTAGATTCAGCCGAATTAGATTAGATTTACGTGTGCATATAGTCCTCGAACATGATAATTTGGCTCGTATGGGCATTGGAGTCTTATATCTCACTTGTGTTATGGGCGTTTGAGTCTTACATCTCACTTGTGTTCAGATTTTTATTATTTTTCATTTTTGAGGTCTAGAAGCATGTAAGATCACGGATAATGGAGGGCTCATATAGCACGACGTCTAGATCGAACGGTTATTATAGAGGAAAAACCTCTCAAAAAATCGCTCTTTTATAGTGTGATGATAAATTTTTTATGCAAGCTATTAAGTTTGTTCTAAGTTGAGACATGAAATTATGTATTGTTTATTGCCTCTTGTTTATAAATATGAATATAGAAAATATATCATGCATGTGTTGCTAGAAATTCTTTGTTGTTTTTTATTGCCATATAATGGTGGATTTTGGGTATCGGAGAACCAATCGGCAATCGGGTTTTCGGGATCACCGGGTTTGGCTTCCGGTTTGGATTATCACCTAAACTGGTGTTCGGAGCGGTTTCGGTTTTTGAGTTCGCGTTTCGGGTTTGGGTCCGTGGAAACTCCACTACATCTGAATCTGCCCATTGCCATTCCTACTCGTATGTCGTATCATTCTCACTTGAGAAGAATCATAAGACGTTTTCATTATATTTAAGTGCGTATAAAAAGTTGTGAATCTAAAAAATTCAAAGCATCTTATAATTTAAATGGAAAAAAATATATATTAACTGTGATTAAGTGGCATATGAATTATGTATGTTTATATCATTCTCACTTGGAGAATCAGGTTGTCAATATCATAGATTCTAATTTGAATCAATACTGATTAGAATCATTGAATCAGAGTATCAGACCTGTTAGTTAAGATCGTAAAGACATACAACATTATAGATTTTTAACAACTATATGTTAGAGAAGGCGGGGTACCGCTTGTTTGACACAGCCGGGCCAAGAAAAAACTTTGAAACGCATGTGTGCAAGGAATTTAGGATACCACTTGTTCGGTCATTCCCCATTCCATGGGGGTTGGAGGGGATTTGGAATGCATGTGTGCACAAGGAATTCAGGATACACTTGTTCGGTTATTCCCCACTCCATGGGATTAGAGAACCGCTTGTTTGACACAGTTGAGCCAAGAAAAAACTTTGGAATGCATATGTGCAAGGAATTCAGGATACCACTTGTTCGGTCATTCCCCATTCCATGGGGGTTAGAGGGGATTTGGAGTGCATGTGTGCACAAGGAATTCATGATACACTTGTTCGGTTATTCCCACTCCATGGGTTAGAGAACTTGTTTGACACGGCCGGGCCAAGAAAAAACTTTGGAATGCATGTGTGCAAGGAATTCAGGATACCACTTGTTCGGTCATTCCCCATTCCATGGGGGTTGTAGGGGATTTGGAATGCATGTGTGCACAAGGAATTCAGGATAACACTTGTTTGGTTATTCCCCACTCCATGGAGCTAGAGAGGATTAGAGGAAATTTTGACTCGCAAGGGATTTAAACCCGAGTCAAAATTTCCTCTAATCCTCTCTAACTCCATGGAGTGGGGAATAACCAAACAAGTGTTATCTTGGATTCCTTGTGCACACATGCATTCCTTTTTGACTTGCTAGGGATTTAAACCCTTTACAAGAATAAAAGAGATATTCAAAGTTGTATTAATTACCGGAGAATTAAGTTGATGAGCCATACTATAATTCTATGGGAGAGAGTTATCGAGCATCGCTTGAGAGCAATAACGCGGGTCTCTATAAACCAATTTGGTTTTATGCTCGGAAGGTCAACCATGGAAGCCATTTTCTTAATAAGACAAGTTATGGAGCGGTATAGGGGGAAGAAGAAGAACCTACACATGATTTTTATTGACTTGGAGAAGGCTTATGATAAAATACCAAGGAATATTATGTGGTGGGCTTTGGACAAACATAAAGTCCCAACGAAGTACGTCGTGCTCATTAAGGACATGTACAACAATGTTGTGACTAGAGTTCGAACAAGTGATGGAGACACGGATGACTTCCCGATTAGGATAGGACTACATCAAGGGTCAGCTTTGAGCCCTTATTTGTTTGCCTTAGTGATGGATGAGGTCACAAGGGACATACAAGGGGACATCCCTTGGTGTATGCTTTTCGCGGACGATGTAGTGCTAGTTGATGAAAGCCGAACATGAGTGAATCAGAAACTGGAGTTATGGCGGGAGACTTTGGAGTCCAATGGTTTTAGACTCAGTAGAACTAAAACTAAGTATATGAGATGTGACTTCGGCGCTACTACTCGGAAGGAGGAATATATTAGTTTGGAAGGTCAAGTAGTGCCTAGGAAGGATACCTTTCGATATTTAGGATCAATGCTACAGAGAGACAGGGATATTGATGAAGATGTTAGCCATAGGATCAAAGCAGGATGGATGAAGTGGCGGCAAGCATCTGGTGTCCTATGTGACAAAAGGGTACCACAGAAGCTAAAAGACAAGTTTTATAGGACGGCGATTAGACCTGCTATGTTGTATAATGCAGAATGTTGGCCTAAGAAAAGACGACATGTTCAACAGATAAGTGTCGTGGAAATACGTATGTTGCGTTGAATTTGCGGTCATACAAGAAGGGATCGAGTTCGGAACGATGATATACGTGATAGATTAGGGGTAGCACCAATTGAAGAAAAGCTTGTCCAACACCGGTTGAGATGATTTGGATATGTCCAACGGAGACCTCCAGAGGCACCGGTGCGTAGTGGAATCCTAAGCTAGATAGTAATGTGAAGAGATGCAGAGGAAGACCGAAGTTGATTTAGGTAGAGACAATAAAATAAGACTTGAAAGGATGGAATATACCTAAAGACTTAGCCTTAGATAGGAGTGCTTGGAAGACAGCTATTCACGCTTCTGCTAAGTTTTAACTCTAGCCTATCCCAACTTGTTTGGGACTTAAAGGCTTTGTTGTTGTTGTTATTGTAGCGATTTAAACCCCCTCAGTCCCCTCCAACCCCCTTGGATTGATTCGCAACCGAACAAGGGGTAACTGTGATGATTCACATGTAAGGCGTCAAAATACCAATTAGTTTAACAGTAGGAACATTAACATAAGTTACTTTGATGGCTGATTGCCGAATAGTCATTCTCAATGGTTCCATCATGTCGAATGAAACAAGAGAACCGAATGTTGGCTATAAAAGGGCCTGATCTAATCAGTTCCCTTCCAACAGGTTTGCAAAAGGGTACAAAGAGAATGTTTGTAAGGATGTAAGCAAATGCATCATGATGCACTGGACCGCGGAAGCCTTTGGCGATGCCTTCCCGTGAACAAATCCAGTTCAGCTTACGCAGAGTCAGTAAGATCCCACTCGATTTACACGTGGCTTCACCGGAGTCTTAGAAGGGCTCACCCTGAACATTCCACAGTGCGATCAGCATTAGCAAATACCAAATGTTCAATTTTTCAGTCTAGATACCCCATAAATAAACAGAAATAGAAGAGGTGGGTGGGGGGAGGTCATGCCTGACAGGCAGAGTTCCCAAAATCATCCCGCTGCAATTCAGAGCCATGATGGCACCCTCAGCCTGTGATTCAGAGTTCAATAGTTACAATCAGAACCTCCATCTTAAGTGGATATACTATGAAAGGAACAAAATATAATGCATGCCTGTATGAGCACAATCATGTTGCAGGTCAATATACAATTAAAAAAAAGCAATAAGCACCGGGAAAAAATCTCAATTGTTTGAACAAACTTATCAACTTATTGTTAGTACTCATTGGAGTGAATGTATCACAAGAACCTTTCATGCATATGCTATTAAGAAATTACCAAACATGCACAAGTTGATCGTATCAAACAAAGCTCCTGCACAATATGCAGCATGCCCATTCTAGGATAGCATCATAGCAAGAGTTTACTAGCGACATGAGTGCCACAGTATTGTGACGCTAAAAATATTATGCAAAATAGACCAATTAAACTAGCCCATTGTGCTAGAGGATTTAACCAGGAAACATCACTTGCTAGTAAATTAAATGTAGGTAGGCATTAGAGCATTATTTAACAATAAAAATAGGAGCCAACCAGTGCAGAAAATAAAAATGTATTGTTCTTACAT